GACTATATATGTAGTATAGGCGGCTACAGAGTATCTTGGTTTACATTTTTGGTTGGTGGTGTGCCGCGTGATTTTTTCAATTAAAAAAGTGTACCTTGGCTCAAAAGAGGTTGAAAAACACTGGTTTACAGGATGAATCGTTTCCTGGATGAATCATTTCCAGGATGAATGGTTTCCAGGATGAATCGTTGCCCTCCAGCTCTCCAGACTCTGGTGTTGCTTATGGAGCTAAATAATAACTTTGTAAAAATGATTTTTTCATTAATAAACAAAGTGAACCATTTTTTAAAAATCCCAGATTTTCCTGAACAAATCAGCCGATTCCAGTTTGATTTGCTGTAAAACTGATCATTTATTGATCACCCAGAGAACCAGTCAGGTGGATGTTATTGGACCTGCAGCGGCAGCATCATTCCTGCCGCTGATAATGTCACATTCTGTCTGAGCGTTTTGTTTCTGGAGTGATCTTCTAGCTTCCTGTGGCCTCAGCTGCGCTGGATGAGTGTCACGATGCGCTGAACGAGTCTTGCAGTCGGTTTGCAGATCGGATAACGAGGCTGCAGCTTCTCCTCGGCGCTGGACGGAGTCACAGCGAATCTGCAGAGCAGAAAGAAACTAAATCATTAAAACAGCTGAAAAGTGAAAGTTGTAGGTTGTGTGTCGTGATTCCAGCTGCTGTGGAAACTTAAGTTATAGCAAATACCCAAGATTTATTGTCTGACTAAAATAATAACCATATGTTATGAAATTTACTGTTTTTCTGGAAATAAACTTCGAAATTTGAGTTTTTTCTTGAAAATGTACAACTTTATAAGCTCACAAATTTATTTTTTAAAGCTTAATCTGAAATTTCAGTTTTTTTTCTAGCAGATTTTTGAATTTTCAAGGCCAGAATTTTTATTGTTTTTATTTTAGAAAGTGTTTTAGATTAATCTAAAAACTTCCTTTTTTCTATCTACAGTTGTGCGCCTTTGTTAATACATTACTAATTTGGGCCTAGTGGGTTTTAATTATTCGCCTGTCCTGCAGTACTGCTGTTTGCCACTAGGCGGCAGTGCAGGCTCTGGATCTCCCACCTGAATTCCTCTCTGAAGTTCAGCTGCAGGTGCTGAGCCAGCTGGTTGCTGTACTGCAGACAGGCCAGCAGGAGGCGACAGCGCTGGAACAGCAGAACGGACTGCGCCGGGCTCAGAACCGACCCGTTCTGGTCCGACAGAACCAGAACCAGCTTCTGGGCCTGGTGGCGGATGAAGGGCAGCTGCGGAGGACAGGCTGAGGTTAGCTGGAGGAGCTGAGCGGCTGGACTCCTGTGAGGAAGGCTCACCAGGTGGGGGTGAGGCTGAAGGACTCCCAGGATCCACGACACGGACACGAAGTTCTCTCCGGGGAAACATCGGCGGGTCTGAACAGAAGGAACATTCCTAAAAACTATTCATTCAGTAGGGCCGGATGTTCTGGAGGCATTTTCAGTCCATTTACAGATTTTCTTAAGCTCTTACAGCCAAGGTGAAAAGAAAGTACATCCCTGTTATTTATAAGATAATCTGCTAATGAAATGTGTGGAAAAACCAAGTTACCTATTTGAACTGACAGTTTACATCCCGGAACTTTAGTCGTTTAGATCTGGGGGTGTTTAGTTTGGATAGACGGAGATATATGGATAGATGGGGATGTTTATAGATATTTCTTTACCAGAATTGAAAGTTGTAACTTCCTGCCAGACTCACCTCGTAGCCCAGCAGCAGCAGCTCAGACAGCAGCGAGCAGGCAGCATCCAGGTACTCTGAGAGCAAAGCCTGAAGCTGCAGAGACACAGAGGCTAACTGGTTGTTTTAGGACATATTTTAACAAATTTCTAATGTGAACCAGTTACCTCGGAGTCAGACGCGGATCCTCGACTCTGCTTCTCACCGCCAGGATCACAAATGAAGGCCAGCAGCAGTCTGGAGATCAGAGCCCCCCTGCAAGGAGGAACAGCGTTTATGTGCAGAATGCAGCGAGAATTCAGCTGAAAACGGCTGCAGACAGCGTGGTGAAATGTCAGAAATTAGCTTAGATTTAGAGCAGAAAGAGCAAAACTATCAGCCTGAACAATCTGGAGTTGATTTGGAAACAGAAAAATGACAGAAACGTACAAAAAGAGAGGAAATGTCTACAGCTGACCCTGTATTAGGGACGTTAAAGATAATAATAAAAAAGGAATACATTTATGCAAAAAAATCAAGGAAAAGTTTGAAAATACAAAAATTTACTAGAAAAAAATTTAAAATTTCAGATTAATCTCAGAAATTTTCTAGAAAAAACTTGGAAATTTCAATTTCAGCAGCTGGAGAAGGAAAATATCCCCCAAAGACACGACAGAAGCTTTTTTATGGGAGTTTTGCGTTTACCTGTTGGCGAACAGCAGGCTGCTCCTGGCTGCTTCCACCTCCGTCTCTCTGAACATGATGGCGAGCGTCTGGACGATCAGCGTACTCAGCCTGAACAAGATCAGCACAAATATCTGCTGAAAATGGGATTCAAGCAACTTTAAACGCATTTAGACCTGGATGTGAAACCTTAACCTGACGTTTCATTAGCTAGGCTCAATTTAGCTAATTTCTCCAGAGCATAAAAATAAGAATCCATCCCACCGTACACCTCACCGCTGTCTCACATCCCTGACTTTTTCTTGTCTTGACACCCTATGTAAAGCCAAGTAGCTATAAAAGCATGGCTAAGTTTGCTACTTGGCTCTAAGAACCAGAGGTTTCGGTTCTGCTGAAACATCTCTCTCAACAATGATGCTAATCTTATACAGATTTGATCTAAATTTAACTTTAATTTTAGTTTAATGAAACATTTTCTGCTCCAAATGTCACTTCTTTCATCCTCATTATGACATTGATGACCCTGTTTGAGGTAAACAACCTCAGCTTGACCTAAATCTGCCCCCTGGTGGTGGAGTTTGGGACTGTCAACACGAGTCTCTTACAGGAGCTGATCTGTGGTGTAAACTCTGCTGAGGCTCTGACAGCCATGAAGACATTCCTCCAGAGTCTGAACCAGGAAGACGAACGCCTCGCCAGACTGGAAACAAAAACAAGTGGATAAAAATCTTGATTTCTGTCCACATTTCCAGGTGTTTTCACTCAGTCTGTTCTCTGTTTGCGGCTCAGCAGTGTTTCTCGTAACGTCTCACCCTCCAGAAGAGCCTCCTCAGCGTGGCGTTGCGGTGAGCCGCCGTCCTCAGCTCCTGCAGCAGAAGGTACAGGTTCTCCACGGTGGTGCCGTCCTGCAGGAGCTCCGAACTCAGCTGAGCGAACAGGTGAGCCGTCCGCTCCGCGCTGCAAACACCAAACAGACTTTTTCTGCCTCAGGCTGGTTTTTAAAGAGAATTGGGAATCTATTTGGATCTACTGGCTGATTTAGATGAGGAACGAGTTTCTTTATGTCCTTTCCTGTCTCTGGAGCGTACGCCATCTTCCACTGGGAAATCCACGCATGATGTTTTCACCCAGATTAATAACCCAGCGTTGTTCTTTTTACTTTTTTTTTTTAGTTTTGTTGGCTCTAGTGGCCTTTATTTGAAAATAGTTCGACAGGAAAGAGGGTAATGAGAGAGCGGGAAGACATGTGGCAAATGTCACCAGGCCGGGAATCAGAACCTGCGACCACCGCCACGAGGACCGAGGCCTCAACATGTGGGTGGTGCTTTGCCCCTGCGCCGCCACAGAACCCAAATGATCCAGCATTTGGTTAGAAGAGGCGATCAGATTCACTCCTGAAATGAAATCAGTGGTTCCAACCTGATGGAGTCGGACGACGGCGTGCTTCTCCTCCTGTAGTCCGGGTCCAGGAGCAGGGTCGACTTCTGGACACACAGACGTCCGGCTGTCAGACAGACGACCAACACAGAACCAGACTGACCTCTGAGTCTCGACCCACGATGACGAAGCTGTTCCAGCAGCTCTGCAGGTGGAGGTACAGGGTGGAGGTCTGAGAAACCACGTAAAGGTGCAGCTCGGCGTCCCTCTCTTCCCTGGAGTCTGCTCGGTCCCGCCTCAGCAGCCGGGTCAGGACGGAGCCGATCCTCCGGGTCACCTGGAACCACCACGAGGGACACCACGCTCAGACTGGACCAAACAGAACGCCGTGACCTCTGACCCTGCCGTTTAAATCGACCCGTTTTTCAGTGGCATTAGGTATTTAGAAGAGAAACAGGCCCACAGCATCACAGAACCTCCACCGTGCATAACAATGGGAACGAGGTCCGCTTAGGAAGGAAGGAAGAAACTAAGGAGATAAGGAAGGATGAAAGGAACCAAGGAAAGACCGACGAGAAGGAACAAAGGAAACATGGGAGGAGCCAAGGAGAGAAGGAAGGACGGAGTGTTTATCCAGCCGGGAATGAATCTGGAATTGTTCTAAACTTTTCCAGACCTGGAAAATCCTGAAATCAATGCCAGGTTTTTCCAGACTTAACCCTTTATTTCCCCACTTAACTCTCCTGCCTGATTTGAAAGGTATGTTCTCCTTTCTTTCCCATTTTAAATAATTTCCACAAAACATTTGGAGTTTCCCTCCTTGTCGTTTCTTATCTTTAACCCTGATAATTTGTGTAAATCTGAAGAAAGTTTTATTTAGCTTTTGGAAGCCGCCCTCACCTGGCGGCTCTCGGCTGTTTTCAGGTTTTCCTCTGGCGGTGATGAAGGAGGCGAGGGAGGAAGAGGATGAGGAAGAGGGATTCTGGGGAGGCCCAGAGTCTCCGGGTCGGGGCAGGAGGCAGAGCGGCTCGTCTTCATCACCGGATGGAGCTCCTCTTTCTTCCACCAGCTGAAAACAGCAACAGGTTCAACAGAGATGACAACGCAGCACTGTAAAAATTTAATCTGGAGTTTAAGTTTAAAATGCACTAAATACTGGAGATATTAGTGCAAACATATATTCTCCATTACGACCATGGTGGCCATCTTGAAGAGATTCCTATTGGCCCAATTATGTCTGATTTGACACAAAAACATTCATCTATGATAAAATAACTGTTCTTGACAACCACAGCACCATCTTGGAAAAGGTCTGCCATCTTGAATTTTTCTATGGCCCATACGTTTTCTTTTTAAATCCCAAGAGGTCGTCTGTATATTCAGTTTTCTCCTGCTCCACTGGTGGATGTCATCGTTTTAAACCCAGAACGTTTCTGCTTCTCTCTTCAGCTGCTGTTTGTCCTCATTTTGTTCTGAACTCCTAACAGCTGCTGTTCCTGAAGGATTTAGCTTTTTTAGCGGATGTGTTTAATGACGTCCCAGTGGAGCAGCACATGGACACATTTACACTCTGCTGTTTACATCAGCCTCCTTTGCGGCCTCCAGGCAGCCATTCAGAGGCTGTGACAGTAAATCCTCCTTTCTTCGTCTCATTACCGTCGACACGCCGTTTCCTGACAGAAACTCAGAGGAATTAGCAGAGCAATACAATCCCAGGGGGCTGCAGCATAAACGGCAGAGCTGCTGCAGGATGAGACTTAAATCTGGATTAAAGGTTTAATTCAACCCATTTCTGTCTCTCTAGCAAGTTTTATTTTATTGGATTTGGTAGCAGTGGTGGGTATCGCTAACTAAAAGGTTATTAGCGCTAACCCTAAACATTAGTTCAGTTTATGCTAAGGCGCTATACCAAAATGTTAAGCTGATGCTAACGTGCAACCAACATAGTATTTAGCAGAAGGTAATGCTAAAAAACCAAAGCAACATTTAACTGAAGCTAACACTAAAGCACCATAGCAGCGTAGCATTTAGCAGGAGCTAAATATGGTTGCTGCCGATTCCTAAACATGGAGCAGAAACAAGTGAAAAGTAAAATCTTTAAAGTAGAAAATAAAAACTAATAGTGAGAATTTAAAAAAATAATACATTTAATTTGAAAAAATGTAAAAATACTTTTAAAAGATGAAAATGTAAGAATACATTCAAGATAAACAGAAAACTAATTAAAAAAATTAATATATAGAAAGAGCAAACATCTCAGATTAAACCTTTCATTGTTTTAACAGATCAACTTGGATAGTGTGGAGGAAAATCTCAAACTGGTAACCTTATCCGCCAGGAAGGCAACAAAATGAAAGTCAATACAAACTCCTAACATGGTAGAAGTTCAAACAGGTGTGCTCACCTGTCTGCAGGATGTCCTGTGAAGGAAGCAGAGACACGGGGAGGTTAGGATTACAGGTAAAGATTTCAGAACGAAGGAAAGCAACACCGGCCTCTCGGTTTTCCTCGGATCAGATCACATTTTGTTCCGCTAGAAATTTAGGCTTTAATGAATCTGTGTTTAACTCTCAGCTTAGCTTTCTCTTTTTGCACCATAAGCACAGCATCAGGATTCGGGCATTGTTCTGCTCCGGGTGCTAACATTAGCTTTACAGCTAAAACTAATATTTTAGCTAATATTTTGATATAAAAGATAAACTTAACAGACTGAATAAACGAAAGTCAAAGTCATGCTAGTGAAACATTTATACTACTCACAGCATTTTAGCTAACATTAGCATTTTAGCTAATTTTACCTTAGACATGGCTGTTAGCATATTTTAAGGCTTATTTAAAAGTCAGTCAACATGCTGACTATAGCATTTTAGCTCATTTTAGCTTAGACACTGCTGTAATCATGAGTCATGAAAACAAATTTATCTGCACCTTTTAAGTCGTGTGTTCTGATTGGACAGTGGCTGGCTCTGCGAGAGGGCGGGGCCACAGGAGGAAGCCCCGCCCTCTTCTCCCTCTGTAACCAATCATGTTCCTTCTCTGCAGGCCTTTCTGGGACGTAGGTGATCCGTATGTGCTGACAGCGCTCCCTGTCCTTTGAACTGAGGAAATCTGGGAGGTCGTTCACCTGCACAGGTAAAACAGGAAGTTCAGCACCAAGTCAGGAATATTTGACAGAAATATGAAGAAACTTTTAAATTTTTTCATTGCAAATTTATGTTTATTCATTGACTAAACATGAAAGCCATTGAAATCTCGGTTTCCCTGTCTGTGAATCCTTAAAGTCTTAAACTCAAGTGTCTAAAATGAAGGACTTAAAATGTCTTACATTTGTTTAAAATGTAAATTAGCCTTTAATCTTATTCCCAGGTCTTAAATTACCATTTTAGACTTTTTAATCTATGTTAAAATTCAAACTTTTTCATCCAGGTTTGAGTCAGACAACTTCACTGCTTTGTGACTCCAGACGGTTAAAGCTACAACTAGCTAGCTTTTTGTGTTTGCTTCTATGAGAATATAGGTGTTAATAATGGTTTAAAAATGTTAAAATTGGTTAATTAATTAAACTAAGGTTGTTAAACATTGCTGTAACAGAAATTGTCATTTTGAGGTTAATTGTGTAGGAATTATGCACAAACTTGATGATTACATTCACTTGTATATTGAAAATCAGCTACATTTTCCTGACCTCGGTGAATTTTCAGCATTTTTCCACCCTGCAGAAGCAGAGAGACGGAAACTGGAGCCATGTGTTTATTTATTCAGGGAGTTTCACTAACAGAGATTGTCCAGGTGAGCTGCTGCAGCCATGATGGCGCCGTCAGACATCGACTCCAGCAGTAATCCGTCACGTTAGCACAGACGGGATTACTGCTAAGCGTCTGACATAACAAGCTGTGGGAATCACAGATTGAGCTGCCGACTTTCTTGAAGTAGTGTTGTACTAACATTAATCCTATTTTCAGCTTCTGCACTGGGTCGGTCTGTTTAAAAATAATTTAACTCAGCGACTCGAATCACATAATCAGCTTCTAGTTGGAGTCTGAAAATAGATTTCCTTTTATACCTGTTTGATTACATTGATTGAAATGTTTTTGATGTGGGTTTAATTGTAATCGTTGCCAATTTTATCTCTAAATTAAATGGGTTGCAGGACTTAAAATAAACCAGGAATTTGAAAAATTAAACCACAGTTAGCTAAAAGAAGCTAACTACCGCTAGGTGTGGCTAATGCATGCATAAATTTCAGAACCCTGTTCCATCTAAAAACCTCGGTTTGTGAACTTTGGATCAGTTTGAATGCATATGTGAACGCCAAGTGGACCAAAGACCGCTCCAAAAGCAGGAAGTGGACTACAGCGCAGGGCATTCTGGGTAAATACAACCTAAAGAAACGCACTAGCCTAATGCTAGCAGGAGAAATGGCTCATGGTCTTTAAGGGCACTCTGTGTTTGTTTACATTTTGTGACAAAGGAAGTCGAACTCAGTGTTTTCAGAGGTTTTAGTGTCGTTTCCATTAGAGGTTCTTGGCGCAGCGCCCCCACAGGCCAGGAGGTGAACAGATTTTTCTGAGAGTTTGGTTTGTGAAAGACAAACACAGCAGCTGAAAATAAAACAAATGTTACCTCTTTGGTTCACCAATCGAAACGACTGGATTGTCATCACTTCTCCTCACTTTCGTCTCTATTCTGCAGTTTTCATTCTTTGCATTATTTCAAATGTTAACTTCATGTCCATCGTTTGTCTTCTCAAACCTCCAGTTGGTTATTTCAGACGGCCGTTTGTACTGAGTCCGGTTCTGGTTCTGCTGGAGGTTTTTTCCTGTTAAAGGGGAGTTTTTCCTCTCCACTGTCGTCCCTGCTGGTGCAATTCAACGATTCAATGCAATCTCCTGAGTTTACATAGAAACTTTTAAACTGCTTTTCTGATGTCTAGGATTCGTTGGAATGTATGGATGATTGAATTTAAATGATTTTTTTAAAGTGCTTCCAGACAACGTTTTTTGTTTTATTGTTTTAAATTCAATAAAGAACTGAATTTAGACTTAACATGTTTCTCTTCAACTTCATCCAAAGATTTTGTGCCAGGTCCAATTTAATTTTAGAGAAAAACACAAACCATGATGCTGCCACCACCATGCATACAGTATGAGGCCAAAGTTATTCACGTTGAAGTCAGGGATGTGATCGTTGTGACGGCGCGTTGGGGCCATAAAGAAAAGAGAAAATAAGGAGGAGTAAATTTCCACCCAAAACATTCACAAATTTTGAGATTCATCTCAGGAATTATTCATCTCAGAATTTTTTACAACAAGTGGAAATATCTGAGCTAAAGAATCGAAAATTTATGAGGAAAAAAAATAACTTTTGAGATTAATTTCACTTACATTTCTAGAAAAAAACTTTGAAATTTTCCGAGACTGAAAACATTTTCAACTTTTGGAAATGTTCTGTTTTAAAAGTAAAAGATTTTCAAAATGTTCATGTTTTTTTAAATGTTAAATCAATCTAAAAAATTTATAAATTCTCACAAATTTTGTGACTTTTCGAACTCAAAAAATTATTCTCAAAATTTCTGAGTTTATAGAAAATTTTTCAACTTTTGAAGCTCAGAAAAGTCTAAGATTTCCAAAAAAATTTCAGAGCTTAATCTAAAAAATTTGGAAGTTTCTGGCAGAAATTTACTCCTTTTTTTCTACCGTGACCCTGATACACCTTAGCATTTTTTCCTGTTGTGAACCATATGACCCTGGAATTTGAACTAAAAAGTAAAAAGTTATTTTTTCTTCTGTATTTTATGTGAATAAAATTTCTGCCTCTCACCTTACTTGTTGGTTTAACCGACACTTAAAGATGAATTTCAACAATGAAAACTATTTTTGACTTTTTTTTTTTCTTTTCAGTTTTAAACTCACCAGCTCGATGTCGCGCACGCGCTCGAGCCTCACGGCGGCGGTCAGCGCGCGCGGCGGGAACTCCGTCAGGTACACGCGCTCGTCACTCAGAACCGCGTACATGTAGACCTTGTTGATGACGTCAGAGACCACCACGCACGGTTCGTAGGTTCGGATCCGCTCGTACAGAGCCCGCTCCGTGTTCCGCTTCAGGAACGAGTCCAGCCGGGCATTCCGGCGGGGCAGGAGCGGCAGGAAGTCGGATCGACTCCGAGCCATGACCCGGGGCGCTACTTTCTGCAGCGGATGGAGACAGAAAGCGGTTCGGTTCCACTGTCCATCGCGTCGGTTCGTGTTTTACTACTGAAGCAGGCAGCGAGTCCAGTTAGGTTATGAACTAAACAGGTGAACCGCGAAGAGGGCGCACTGCTTTCTGATTGGTCCGCTTTTTTCCCTAGAGCGCTGCTGATTGGCTGAAAGATAAACCTCTATGTAATAGAGTTTAATACGGTTTTTTATAAAACAAAAACAGTTTTTAGATAATCTTTTATTCATTTAAATTGACGTATATATATAATATTGACTTGTTTCTGCTGACTTTTTCAGATTTGAATACATTTGATATTTATTTCATATTTGTTGCATCTGCTGTTAACAATAATGAAAAAATATTTAAAAATTGATTGTTAGAATTTAATATATTTTTTTAATAAATGACATATTGTGGATATTTAGTTTTAGTTCCACAATAAAACTAACAATATTACATAACATGTAGTGAATATTTAATTTAATAGTTTAATTACATATTAATTTAACAGATTGAAATGTTATATTGTAAATTGTAAGATTATATTTGGACAATTTCTGGAATAATCATTTTTAGAATTTTTTTAATTTATTTCTTTATTTCATAAATAGGCTGATGATTATTTCCCTGTTTTTTGTTATTTTTTCCTTCCCAGGAAGAATTTTCCCCAAAGAAAACAAATAAAGGTTCTTGTTTCATATTCATATAGTATTTTTCTTTCATTGCTGCAGAACATAATTTAAATTTAATCTCCTAAACCAGAATAATTGGGCTTGACTACTGCTCCTGTTTCAGTGTAATTGATCTGTGGAGTTCCTGTTGTCTCACAGGAAATAAGTAAAGTCAATGCATAAATAATTAATAATAGCTTCTAAGATGTAAAAAAAAATCATTCATTAAATCACAATTTAATTAATTTTAATGTTCAAAGTAATTGTTATTTTAATTAAAGAATAATTCATTTAAGTATTTAGTTCCAGTTTTATTTAGAAATACTTGATACATATTAAATATTTCCACATTATTTATTTATTGCATCTTACTTTTTTGACACTCGATATAGTTTTATTAAACCTCCAAAAAACCGAAATGTTTTCTATTTTTTTATTTCCATATGTTGTTTCGCCTTACTGCCGCTAGAGGGCATCAGAATGCAGTTAATGTGAAGCAATTTATTTTAATATGCGAATCCCACAAATTATTTCAGATATTTTTCTGAGTTTATCCTCTTAATATGTTATGTAGAATATTCTAGATTAATTTTAACTTGATAAATGTTAAGAAAAAATTAGCCTGAGGTTTTCTTCAGAGGATGCGACTTTTAAATAAACGCTGTGAGTGAAAAGATGAACAGAGTCTCTCACATGGACACCATGACAGAGATGAAGGCTGTGTTGTTTCAGCGTTTCTGAGACTCTTTTATACAAACACTGAGAGGAAACACTGAAGACATACAGAGAAAGACTCCAACTCATCTGATCCATTTAATACGATGCATATAGAGTACATTTCTAAGGAAAACTTGGACATTTCTCAGCTTTAAAAGTTTAGAATTTGCTAGAAAATCTTGGAATTTTTTATATTAATCTCAGAAAAGTTCTATATAAAAAAAGGAAATTTGTGAGTCTCAAAGGTCAAAAATGTTCTCCTTCTCAAACTTAAAAAAATTCTAAAAGTCAAACATTTTTCACTTTTGAAACTTAGAAATTTCCATGTTTTTTCTAGAATATTTCTGAAATTAATCTCCAGTTTTTTCTAACATTTTTTTTACTTTTCAGCCTCAAATTTCCTGTTTTAATTTTATAAGATTAATCTAACAATTTCTGAGTTTTTTTTAAAGCAAATTTTAAACTTCACACTCAGAAATTTCCTTTTTTGTATTTTGGCAGAAGTATACTCTTCCTTTGTTTTCTATCTACACTGGCCGTAATACACGGTTGTACTTTACTTCCTCAACATGAAGCTTAAATAAATTTAAAAACTGCTTTAAGCTTCATGAAAGATGACATGAAAAACTCTAAAATATGCCCTCACTTTTTATCAACTCGTTTGGAAAAATCTGTTGTTTTTGTGTGAATTTACAGATGAAGAACAATCAGATTAAGAATTATTTAGTTCATAATTTTTATATTCGGCAAAATGTAACAACTAAACCTTAAGAAAAAATGCCTAAAGTAGAAAAATGTGATATTTTCCTATAAGGTGCAGAGTGTTTCAGTGTCTGTCTGGTTCTGGTCAGCTGATGGGCCGCTCCTCCATCATCACCATCACTGTGTGCTTGTGTGCAGCTGTGAACAACAATGGTGGGCTGAGCGCTCACACTGCTGCTTTTGTTGTGCAGAAAGAAGAAAATGGCCCCATTTCCCCGAACAGGCGGGAGAATGAACACAAACACCGAGTTCGGCTGGCGGTGACCTTCCTGCCCCCAGAACGAGGCTCAAAGTTCAGATCAAATCCTGCTTTTTCTGTTTTGACTCACAGATTACAGCGCTAAAATGTTTTAATCCTTACATTTCTTTATATGTATATATTTTTTTAAATAAAACCTTTCCACAAGTTTGGAAAATGTTACTTAAATGGCTTGCTGACCATTTGTTGCCAACTGTCACAGCAAAAAAACATTTAAAAAAATATAAACTCATTAAATTTGGTAACAAACATTAATGTTCGCACATATTTTCAGCTAGACAGAAAAATTAACTCTTGTTGGGTTGATAACCACAATTAACCTTCAACTTCCTCTTTTTCACAGCGTCTAAAACAGAAATAAAACACTTTGAACGCCGTAGAAATGTTTAAGTAAAATATTTTAGATTATTTAACTTTTCTTTCGCCTTTGCAGTGACTCTGAAATGAGTCACAATGTAAACACTTTCATCCACAGGAGTCATTAATCAACAACCGGATGTTATTACTGGCGGAAACGACGAAGAAGAGAACAGGAAGTGGAAAGAGGAGAAGGGTAGCGCAACATGTTTTAACGGTGACCAAATCTTGTGACCAAATTTCTTTTTTTTTTTTTATATCCCGCAATTGAGAAATTGTATCTTTTCGACATTGTCAGAATATTAACAAATATCACCGGAAAACAGGTGAAAGACGACAGGAAGTAGTTGGAGGAAGATGGCGTCATGTTTCTTAATGACTTCTCACTGAACAAACTTATTTACATTGATTTTAATTGTTTCTTATTTAATGGAAACACCGCAATCGCGAAATTGTGCTTTTTCGACATTAGCGGCACAATAACAAGGTTTTGCTCACATTTGTTATAAAATGGCTCTTATTTTGGTATAAATTCAGGTCTAAATCACTTTATTTTAAATAAAAAGAGCTCAGATGTTTGTGTTTTAAATTAATGGTCAATAATCACCAATATAATCTAATTTACTCGTTTGATTGTTTATGAGACTGTTCTTCAGTTACGTGATAAATTGCAGTTAAACAGAATATCATTCCTCTTTAGGATTTAATTGTGATACATTTTAGTTTAATGTTAAATTTATTTGTCATCTCAAGGAAGTCAATAATATTGACCTAAGGAGATTTTAACCGCGATTTCGTTGAGTTTTCACCTTAAAAGTCCTCAGATGTTTAGCATACTTTACTTTCTTTTGTTTAGAAAATAAAAGACGTTTAAACAAAGGACAAAGACAAAAATGTCATTTTTTCCCTCCTTGTATTTCTGTAGGAGTTGAAGCGCAGCTGGTCATGTGCTCTCCTCCCAGCTTCAACCGGAGACTGCCGCCAAGCCCTGACGGAAATTACCGAGCGCAGCCGAAGTGAAGCCGAGCAGAAAAACCGAGCGGCTCGTTGAACAGCTGGAGTTCTCTCCGTTTTCTCCCCGCTGAAAGGTCCGAGGACACCGCAGAGATGACCATCCTGTCCAGCTGGGAGCTGTGCGTCAAATACGCAATCTTCATCTTCAACTTTGTCTTCTGGGTGAGTAAACATGAAATACTCCGGCTTTAAACACTGGAGGAGATTTTCTTTAAGCTAAAAAAACAACAAAAACAAAAAACGATTAACTGACATTTTACTTTAGTTTTATCACTTTATAAAACTGGCCAAATGGGTAATTTCACGGATTTTTTACAATTCATAGCAGCGGAGAAGAAAAACTTTAATAAAATTGTGAATTAAGCTTAAAGTTGGACTAATTATTAACCAATGGTGTTTATATGCACTGATATGGCATAATGTTAATGAAAAAATAATGAGAAAATAACTATTTCTGCACATGTTGATGTGTGGGGGAAATATTATGTCATTTTACTTTCAAAGTTGACAAATATCTTAGTTTAATATCACACATTTGTTTTGGTAAATTGTCTTTTTTTTTCTAGCAAATTTTTGACCTTTTGAAACCGGCAAATATCCACAAATATTCAGCCTCTGTGGCTGCATATTTTTTCTCCCTTTATCAATGTCTATAAATAATGAAATAATGACCAGGTAAAAACTGAAATAATTTTGATTCTGATTGAAATTAAATTAAAAATTGTTTATTTATCCCAAAGAGAAATTAAATGTCATATCAAAGAGTCTCCAGTAGCAGTCAGTCTTGCAGCAAATCTGAAGAGGACTCTGACTGAAGACTGTTGCTGTATGAGAGTCTCATGCTAACATGCTAACAGCAGAGATGATTTCCACTGCTAATCCACCTCATTTTCTTTTGCTGCTCCTCTTTAAATCTCTGTTGCTTGAACTCACCAAATACTTTTTTACTCTTATTTGAGTAATTTTCTGATTGACTACTTGTTACTTAGCTAAAAATGTATTGAAGCACTAGCACATTAGGGCCATTGCAGATAGAGAAAAGGAGTTAATTTTCTCCAAAGAACCTCAGTAATTTTCTAGAAAAAAGTCAGAAATTTTTGAATTTGGAAAGTAGAAAATTTGCTAGAAAACAGTTTAACATTTGGAGATTAATCTCAGAAATAAAAAAAGACATTTCTGAGATTAATCTCAAAAGGTCTGATTTTGTTCTTGCAATTTTTCCATTTCTGATATACAAATGCAACTCAACATTCGTTGTGTTTGTAGTTCTGATACCTTCCACAGGGGGCAGTGTTGAGACCTTGCACCTTTTAACTTCAACATAAACCAGAGTAAAAGTTCACCTTTCTCTACGACAATAGTTAACACAGAAAATGT